GCCAGGCGCTTCTAAAGATGCGAGACTACGACGCGGCCGCGGCAGATGCAGCTTTGGCCCTGCAGCTTCGAGCGCACGATGCTAAGGCCGCCTCCTGAAAAGCTCCTTGTCACCATAGTACATAGTAGTAGTAGTAGTAGTAGTAGTAGTAGTAGTAGCAGTAGTAGTAGTAGTAGCAGCAGCAGCAGTAGTAGCAGTAGTAGCAGTAGTAGCAGTAGTAGCAGTAGTAGCAGTAGTAGCAGTAGTAGCAGTAGTACTACTCGTAGTAGTACTAGTAGTAAGTAACGGTAGGCATAAGACATACGGCACAAATATGCTCCAAAGCACGAACACGATGTTACAATTGTTTCATAGTTGCTAGTAGTAATATTATTGTATAATACTGAAAAGCAGTCAGGCAAAGACGAATGAAGATGTCAACTAATTATGCCTACATATGCAGTGTGCGGTTGCATAAATGCATACATACGTACATGCATTGTGAAAATGCGTGCGTATGTTTATTTCCAAAGGTATGGAGATGAGCATGTACGTGCTAACGTACTATGTATACCATATACGGCAGTGCTGAGCATAATGCATGATCAGCTTTTTGCCCTTCGATGCCTTGGTCGTTGCATGCTCCTGATCGGCAGGCTTGGTCTCGTTATGTCATGGCTGCGGGAGGCCACCAGCATCGCTGTCATCGTTGCAGTATCCATCAGATTTTATCCTAAGCCCAAGAAGCCGAATTCCTGATGCGAAGCCCCAATTTGTGACTGCCATGCACTTGGGCACTAGGCAAGAAACAGGCGTTCTGACAAATCCGAGCTACAGCGCGCAAACCAGGTCCTACAACCTTAAAACAAACCTCGAAACCCTAAAACCCTCCAACCCTAACACCTAAACCTAACCTCCTAAACTTTCAACCCTCCAGCCCTCTAAGCCTAAATCCTAAATCTCTTAAGTCTTTAACCCCAAACCCTAAACCTCCTATCTAGCCCAAACGGGCTCTTTGTACTTCGGTGCGGAAAAAGGCGCTCGAAAAAAGCCTCCTATCTACACCCTACGCACATTCCTTCCAGGCCTTGCGGCCCTGTCCGTGGCCGGCCGTGCGGAGGAGTACTCTGCCGGCCCGGAGAAGGTGGAGATCACCAAGGCCCCAGTTTCGGCTTACTAAAGGGGCCTAAATGGGAGTTTCCGAAAACTAGGGGTACCTTATTTTGGGGTCCTTATTATAAGGATCCTACTATTTAGGATACTATATCAGAGCCCCCCTTTTTTTGGAAACTCCCAAATAATGACCAATACTATTGCGGGGGTTCCTTCTTCAATTATAGTATAATGGGCCCCAAAACCCTATTCTAATTATTAAGGCCCCTACATTAAGGCCCCGACATTAGAGGGTTTAGGGTAGATTTTGCGACTTTATGGATGGCTTGAGGGTCGTCAGGGCTTTAGGATTTAGGCTTAGGAGCGGGAATAGGCTTTGGGGTTTTGGGCTTTAAGGTCTCCAGGGCGTTAGGGTATCCTTGCAGCCAGGTACTGGTGGAGGATTGGAGACTCGTTACATGTCGGGCGGCTTCCTGTTCCACAGCCTTCGCTGCCACAGGCAGGATCCGTTAGGGTTTAGGTTTGTCTTAAAAGCTGCCAAGGGCCCAGAAGAGATTGCCAAAATCATGTGCAGGTGGATTCCGGCATGGAGAGAGGAGAGATGTCCATGTCACCTCGCTGCCATATTCATCCAGATTCCTAGCTTGTCATTTGGTTCCAGCAAAAAGCTTGGGATCATGCTCGCCTACCGGTCGAATGTCCTGGCACTCGATTGAAGGTCCGGGTATCTTTCCAGCGGCTCCCAACGCAGTGGCCGCGAAGCGAGCAATTGAAGTCGCCAAGGCGGGCAGCACCTTCCGCAACAAATTCTAAGTATGAGTAGCAGGTTTGTGGAAGCCCAATACTACATTGAGTGCACGTCGGGTCTTTACGGACTGAGTTGGAGGAGGGTTCAGGTTACCTGATTAGTCCCATGTGGCAGATGCATTAAACTTTCTTCCCTGACAGGAAGCCGCGAATGCCGAGTGCCCGGATAGCAAGTGGCATGGCCAGTTCTGTATCAATCAGCGAGTTAGCTCTCTGCAAGGTTGCAAGATGTCGTAAATTATGGTCAAGCGATGTGTGACGACATGAATAATGAATGTAACTCGGGCTGGGCATGGGCTTATCTTGGAGCACCCAAAAGGCAAGTTAGCCGTAGACCTGAACTCCGACCTAGCTGTGTCCACAAGCCCTGTGCAGCAAAAGCATTCCCTTGACTGCTGACAGAGGTACAACAAGCAGAACTACAGCGCGGCTGTAGAAGGCCAGGCTCTGCACCGGCGGAAGCACCCACTCCCCCGTCTCAGATCATAGTAATTCATGATAAGGCCGGCGGAAGCACCCACTCCCCCGTCTCAGATCATAGTAATCCATGATAAGGCATGTTTTAGTTCGTTTGTCCGTCTTGTTGCTGTCTGTCACAGTCTGTACTCATGTACTTATTGTAATATGTAAGTATGTAACTATCTATATGTATATACATATAATGTATATATATATATATATATATACATATATATAGAGAGTTGTCTTTAATTACACCGACAGATAGACAATTAGATGAATAGAGGTTATCAAGGACAATGCTCCATATTGTGAAAAAGAAATCGATAGCATTGGGTTACATGGCAGCATCGCGTGCAATTGGTCTCGTAACCTAAAACTCGGTGAGGTTACACAAAGGCGACGGCCTCTGATCCTTGCCTGGCCGATGTGGCCGCCATCTTCAGCAATTTGGCACACTGCAGGTCGGGTGGATGATGATGGAGCTCGTGTAGCAGCGCCAGTTAAACCGACAATCAACATCGAGACTTCTCACGGGGGAAAGTATGCAGGCGATGAGTAAACATGTAGCTCCACGCAGATCCGCTCCTTCGCCTGCACGCAGGCTGTGCTTGGGCCAGCCGCACTGTCGGATCCTCGACCTGCTTGTTGCAGACAGCTTCGTCCCTCTTGGGACTGACAGAGTTTCAATTGGTTTGGAGCGTTGGCGTCCGATCCGAGCCAGTTGGGGTCTGTCTTGTATCGAACCCAACTGTGGAGCAGATTTTCTCTCCCGGCTGAGGTGCTATTGCTTCAGCAGTCTCATGCCTTCGGCTCAGACCCTCATGGGCGGTTGCCGTCAAGGTCCCTGCCTTGCTGCGTGCTTGCTTAAAATACGTCATGCACTTGGGTAGAAGACCACTGTCAACTGTTGCGACAAGACGTGTGGCGTGATCGTTTCAGTCGGGCAGGCCGTCCATCGACTGGCCGCTGCATTAGCCAGTACAGGTCAGCCCTAGGAAGCATGAGGGCCTCAGCCTCATCGAACTGATCATGCAAAGTGGCTGTTTCCGTGCAGGTGAGCACGATGCAGCTCGTCAAGTGATCCGTGCGTTCCAGCCTCGGTCTGGTCGCGGAAGTGAAGGGAAGTTGGATCGCTGGCGATGGACTTGGCTGAGGTTTGAGAGCGCAGTGGTTGACGATGCCCGCCCACCATGAGTTCGCTCCTTGCAGAGTGCAGCAGAATATGAAAGCATTTATCAACCACGAACTCTAAAGCCTCGACGTCCGCCAGAAAGATCCAAACCAAATCGCCAGCCAGGTACCGGAAGCGGTTCGGAAGTCGTGCGCAGACCTTTGCAGCAAGCTGGACCGAAATGTGCAGATGCTTGCTGAGCTGACGGCAAGCCAAGGTGGGCACGTTTGAACCCCCCAACACATGAAAATAAGCCTATATTGTGCCGTTTACGATGGCACCTGATAGAAACCCCTTTGCAGACATCTTTGTGTCCTTATATCAGAGATTATCAGAGGATTGAATTCAACAAGATTGAACGAACAAGCTTGTCGCACACCAGGCCAGCCAGACCTCTGGGAAAGCCTACTGGAGGGCCTTCTTCCCGGCAGCGAGTGGTGTTCCGGGGTTCTGGAAGCAAGCGGCGGCCGACTGCGTGTTCGGAGCCCCGCTGCTCGGGGGAGCCTGCTTTTGCTCCTTAGACCGCTGGGTGGCCTTGCACAGGGAAGCGACAGCTGGAGCCAGGGAGAGCTGGCGAGGCACCAGATTCGCTGCGATGGCTGGGGTCTGCACGAGAGGCTCTCCAGCATCTGCAATACGGACGTTGCAGCCAAAGAAGTTGCAATTTTAATCACAGGAGCACTCGGCATGGTCGCCGATCCGCGTGAGCTGATGCTGTGTAGTCCTCGAGCCCAGCTGCTGCCATTGCTGGGTCAGCGACTGGAATCCTTTTTTCGATCTTTTGGCACCTTGTCCCCCAGCCTCTTGGGCTGCCTTTTGGAGGAGCAGCGCGTGACACTGCAGCTTCCCAACCCTCCCGGGGGCGCCGCGAGCTCCAGAGGCATTTTTCCCACGCTGGCCCTGATCCCCGAAGCCAATGCAGACACAACGGCGAACTGCGAGATGCGATTCAAGCAGGGTGCGTTGACAGTCCGCCGCTCAGTACATACACGTAAGATCTGCTTGCTGACTAGGACCCCGAAGCCCCTAATATGGGGGGCCTCAATAATAATTAACAATACTGTCTTGGCGGCTCCTCATTATACATATAGTATAATGGGCCCCAAAACCCTATCCTAGGTCCCTACAGTAACTGTGTTGAACCCTTTCCCTGTTGCAAGGTCCTGGCATCTGAAGACTTGGAACCCGGCAAAGAGCTGTGGATCGAAACGAGCGCAGAGAGAATTTCGCGTGCCGGTCTTTGAACTATGTCGCCTTAAATTAAGGATTATAATGCTGTAGTTAGGGCTTATACTACTACAAGTAATGCTCATAATGCTGCAATTAGGGCTTGTATAATACTGTAAGTGTTGCTTTATAGTGCTTGTGTGGATTGTGGGGTTTGGGAAGTGCAGGCTGAGCACACCGTGTGTGCCTTCACCTTGCCGCACTGTTGAATGCGTCAGAACAGCTGGTTTGCACATGGGAGGCAACTCCACACTACGTCTGCCAGAAGCGTTGCAAGGCGCGGCAGCCATACATTAAATTGCCGCAAGGTACAGAACGGCAGGTTACATGATGCAGTGGTAGTCAAGCGATGCAAGAAGCGGTGTTCTCTCCAACATGCATCAGGGCAGTTCCCTGAAATGCTCCCGACCACAACAAAGCATCGCAAAAGATTCCTAAAAGGGACTGTTGATCTAAGCTGACGACTTTAGCTGCTGCTGCAGCAGCAACGGAAGCTAACATACAAGGATCATCTGGAAGCCCAAAACCCCTTGAAGCCACAACTCTATACCCCATAAAAAACAACACTAAACCCTGGCGCAGAAAAGGACACTGAAACAAAAACAAAAAGCACAGAAATTACCCCACACCCTGCAGCCTAAACCGGGAACCCTTGTACGTCACCCGAGGAGGCTCAGAATATCCTCGAGGAGGCCGCAAGCCGAATGATGACGTCCAGCAAGGAAAGGGTTCATGGTTTAGGGTTTAAAGTTTAAAGTTTAAGGGGGTTCTGGGATTCAGGGTTTTGGTTATATGTAAGGTGTTTGGCTTTCTTTGCTTCGGGATCGCTTGTCATTGTTGAGGGGTTCCTGTTTTCGACGTATTGTAACCATGAACTTATTATTCATTTTTTTAGGCTTCGTGTTTGAGCCATTGGCGTCCCTTGGTTTGTGAAAGTTCCATATCAACAACATACCCTGTTTTCAAGGATGTGTTGTGTTGTGTTTGGCATGACTTTTTTTGGCCATGAGAAAGAAGGGTTTGGGCTTCCTAGGTGGTTGTGCTTCGTGGCTCAGTGGTATTAGAAGCCGTGTAGCTAGTTTTGCTAGAATCATACATGCTGTTGTTGCTGCTCTGTTGGTATTGTCGTGACGATTATCATGATGAGGATTTGCAGGTTATGCGTAGGCTTCATTTGTCCAAACACTAGTCACTAGCTTAGACAATGCAATACGTACACAGAGTCCAGGGGACGGTTTGCAGATGCGGAGGTTCTGGGTTTCACAGGGTCGAGGGCAGCCAGCTGCTGGCTTGCAGTCTACAGAGTTTATTGCCTGCTTGGCATCCGTTTAACGAAGGTTTCGGGTTGAGGGATGTGGGGAGTGAGCAAGGGAAGTCGGCAATAGACCCTAAGCCCTTAGCCTTAGCCTTGACCGTCTCAACCGGTTGCTGCAGGACGAAGTGGATGCCCTCACCTCACAGTATGCCGCCGGTCTCCGGGACTTTCAGGCCTTCAGGGTGCCGGTTTACGGAGGGATTTAGCGGTGCTGGGTGAGATATAGTCAGATCATATCATCATGGCCCGATATGGCATGAGTATACCGGCCGTAAGAACAGTTGTCGACATCGGATCGGCTCGCAAGAGCTCCAGATGGAAAGCTAAAGCTACGGGGTGTAGTGACTCTTCGCGATCTGGACGTTGCTCATCCCTCTCTGGATAACAGTACGGTAGTAGAAAAAACATCATGGTCATCATCACAGTTTAAGAATAGGGTTATAAGTTTAAGGACTCTTAATGGGTCCCCCTCACATAGACGGCTACTGAAAGAGGGATCAGCATCTGAGGCCGCCAGAGCCGAGCTGGAGAAGCTTTCCTCGGAAGCGCATGCCTGCGACCCAGAAGTGCGGTCGAAGGACTTCGAGGGTGCAGGGTTATCCTAAGCTACCACAGCCTTCCCTTTCTGGACGGTCCGAAACAAGTTTGGGGAATAAGATGCAGGGTGAAGCAGGTCCTCCGAATGTGAGAAGCAGGCAAGCTCGATAACATACCGCAAGCCAAAGCCTCTGGGCTTCCTGGCCCTTAGCCCTAACAGACCAAGGCCCTGCAAACCCTGAGCCCTTCGGTCTGCATTTTCTCTTGGATTGCTTTGGAAGTTGTACTGATTCAGGAATCCCTTCTAGGGGCATGCAGTCAGATATTTGTAAGTTCTTTCTCATCTTTCTCTGACAACGATGCTAGTGGCATGGAGAGGCGGCCACCAACCAAGCCAGAAACCACCCTGTTTCCACCCTAAAGCACCGAGAGTTTTGACCCCAGGCGCCAACGCCTGCAGCCTTGGCGGCGGTGAGGCCTTACTTCGAGGCCGAGGCTTGGATGGATGGATGGATGGATGGATGGATGGATGGATGCGTGCGTTGTGTCAAAGAGTGCTCGCAACCCGCGATGGTCACGCCGGCCGCCAGTAGCAGCTCGAGGGAATCACAGCAGCAATTGTGACACGTAGCTCTCAACGGAAGAACGAAGTGTAGGAAGATGAGAATTAGCGCATGCTCCTGGCCAGCGCAGGATGAACATCGCGAGCAGCTTGCTGAAGAGGAGTTGCAGGTGTCTTGTTGCCAAAAGGAGATTCTGGTCTTGCAGGCTTTACAGTATTACTATGGAGGTCTGAATAATTCGTATTGGTATCCCGTTCGCCTCCGTATGATACGAGCTGTTCGCAGCACGGCTTCGGCAGGAAGAGAAGCTGCGGCAGAACGTGGCCCAGGCCGGGACAAATCCTCATGTTGTGTTTCAGCTCTGCTAGTGCTAGTGAATTACGCGCTTCGTCAAAAGCTAGCAATGTGCAAGTAGGAAACTATACTTCTCCTGGGCAGAAGCTCGGTGTGTTCTTTGCATCAGTGCCGACACCCGTGGTCTTGCAATGTCTGCGTTGCAGGTAGTCTTTCTAACGTGACTCAACGTGGTAGGATGTTGCTGAAGATGTCGCAGCATGCTGCGCATCTGGGCCGAAACAGGCTAAGCTTCGTTATCACAGCGAGCTGCGAAGCTTGGAGGCCTTGAGCAATCAGGCACGCCAGCAAATCATGGAGAGTCACCGGCGAGTTTCGACTTGGTGCTGCACTGGATTGTCCTTAAGCGTGTCGAGGTGAGTCAGGCAGGATGGGATTTGCAAACATGGTCTGACATCGCAACTGTTTGATTTGTTCAAAACATGCCGGCACACGCCGAGCCTGACCAAGATGGAGGAAGACGTGCACTGAGTCCCCTTTGTATTGTACTCGTCGTGCAAGGAATGTCCTCAGCACTATGCATGATTAGAGCATATCAAGCCCACTGTATCAGGCTCTGGTACCATGTATAATGCAAGTAATTAATCGGGAAGAGCAAGCATCTGGTTTTTGCTGCCTCTCATACATGGGTTTCTCGCTCTCCTGCCTCCTTTTTTTTTTTCTCTCTCTCTCTCTCTCTATCTCTCTCTCTCTCTCTCTGTCTCTCTCTTTTCTCCCGCCACGAATTGACAACATGCATCCCTTGCAGGCTCATCTGCGACGTGCGTCCAGTGGCTATGTTGATGCTGTCAGTCGCACTGCCAGTGGCGCAGAGAATCCTGCGATGGTCTCGCCGCCTGGCTTTACACAATGATGATTCGAGGTCCCAGCTTCAATGCTATTGAATTGCCAGGAGAGGACAGCCTCGCAGTCGTCAGCGTGCGAGCCTGAGAGCACCGTTCCTTCGCGAGCCACCCCTTCCTCTTGCAATGTGCGAAGTTGACAGCTTGAGTTGGATGAGGCGCCGCACCCCAGTCCAGACTCCGGAACAAAGGCCCGCGATGATGCCATGGTACATGTAATCTTAATGCTGTTGCGCCGTCGATTGCTTCTGGGAGTGTTTCTGCAAGGCCCGCTGCAACCTTTGGCCGCTCCCTGCGCAAAAGCCCGCTGGAGAGCCAGAGGCCTCCCGGACCGGCTGTCGCAGCGTTCATAGCTGCATGGTGTGCACGCTGGCCTCTTCAAGCTTGTCGATTGTTCCTAGGCATCACAAGGATCCAAGCGCTGGGACCACAAAGCAGCTCGAAGGCGGCGTGCCGGTTTGCGTGTTTGTATCGCGAAGCCGGCGAGCAATAAACCTGCATGCGTCGCGACGCTTGCTCAGGCTCTGCATCGCAGCAGCCCAAGAAGGCATGCCACACTGTCTGAAACCTGCTTGCAGACAAGAACGCGTTGTTGTCAGGATGTTCTGGAAGAGCTGCCGATGACACCGATGCAACAGATGGATCATCAAAACCACGGGACCGAATCGAGCCGGTGAAAAGAGCTGAAGAACCGCAGGTACGGGGGGTGCGGGCAAATCCCAAGAAGTCAGCATCCGCCTTCTCGGCTTCTCCTGAGCCTAATTGCAAGCAGTTCCGGCTGTGTCGAGCCCATTGCTGATGCCTGATGCAGTTCTGTGCAGGGTGATCCTATTGTTGTGATATCAGTGACGACAGAAATGATATAGCAACAGCGCAGTTGCAGAGCGCGTAGCGGTTGGCTCAAGTCTTGGCCCGAGCAGGTGCAGAGGACTAAGGTCAGCCCGCATGTTGCGCTGGGAGAAAGGGTGTAACTGGCATCTTGTCTTGTTTCTGTCTGTTTGCTCCGGAGTTTTGGATGTGCATCAGGCCTCGAAGAAACCAGAGCCAGCATCGGTGCGACGGCGCCGGGGGCCCAACAGAGATTGCTGTGAAGTTTGCGGCTTCCGGCTTGCAGCTTGGAGTTCGAAATTCGAAGTTCGCCCTTCCTTCAGCTGAACACGTGCGCGGGACAGCGGGCAGTGGTCAGGTCAGTCCATGTTGCAGGGGCAATGGCAGTTGAGCTCATTTCGCCCGTCCCGAACTCCGACGGCTGCACCACCAACCCCACCTTGATTAAACGGATGATTGGACATTGGAGGGGCGCTCGAATGGCTGCCGAGATCCACGAAATGATAATTGTACTGCAGGCCAAGAAGTGAGACTCTCGCTCTCTCTCTTTGTCTCCTGTCAGCTCGGCGAGGCTCCGCGGCCTCCGCAGGGATCGAAGGTCGGCAAGGTTCGTGTTCGGCAATGCGACGGATGCTGAAGCCGGGAGGGTAGATATACTTCATGTCACCTCGTGCGCCAAGTGAGCAAAAGGGCTCATTGCACGGTTCTCATAGCACGTTGGCATTGAGTCCTTGTGCCTCATGCAAAAAGCGGCCCCGCATGTACCGGGATTCCAAGCTTGGCTCTGCGAAGCTTGAAAAAGCACTGCACAGCACACTGCAGCGACACTGTGCATCTGGCGCAGACGGTAGCACTGCGACTTACAAGGGTTCTGGGTCGGTGGCTTTGCATTCTTAGATCTCAAAACATCGCAGCGTCATGTACTGGGAAGCAACCTTGGGGATCCACCAGAGAAACGGGACCACGCAACAGGATGAATGCGCAACTCATCGGGCAAAGCATGACGGAGCCAGCGAGGCTCCCTCTCACAGCGGACGGCAGATGAAGGCGGACTCCGACAAGCCTTCAAACGAAGGTTTGTTAACGACACCGACAAGTGGCAGACGCAGAAGGCGCCTTGACTGAAGCATACTGGATGGGTGCCGTGGGCATCTTTTAGCTGCACGCGGCCACCGAGGCGTCGAAACCGGAAAGCTGAGAAGAGGAACGAGATTTTGCTGACGCCACGCGGAAAGCAGCGCCTTGATTCGATGCTGCACGGCTTCAACGGCTCCCGTTTTGCTGCATGCGGCCATCCCCTAGGGGCCTCCAGACCCCAAAGCTGTACAGCGCCTGGGCTAGCACTGGCGTCTGCGCTGCACTGATCTCAACGTCATGCATTTAGGGTCACCGAGGCCACCACGGGTCAGCTTCGGTGGCGAAACTAATGCCAGCACAGACACAGGTGGCCCGCGAGACCTGAAAACACCACCCATGCGACTCAGAGGACAGCCGAAGTTATCTTGGTGGAGTTCCTCTGCTCCCGCAGTGGGCTGGCTTTCCATCTTCGCTGGCCAGGATGCTAGTGACCGTGAGTACAGACGTGGGCTGCGAGAGTCAGAGGGGCACCGCAGCTGCAAAAAAGGGTGGTTGTGATCATGTGATCGATTGGCGCTCGCTGGACAATGCGTTGGAAAGGCTGAACGGCTCGCCGCTGGCATGGTTTCCGCTTCTTTCAGACTTGAGATCCGGCTTTGCAAGAAAGCGGTGCAAGCATCCAAGGCAGCACGAGCTGCAAGCCCAGCTTGAAGCAGTATGGAGTAACACCACCTGGCTTGTTCAGCATGCTCAACCAGTGGACTGCGCGTGACTTGGCTACGATTCCTCGATTGTCCGGGAGTACGTAGATGGTCGCTGCAAGCTGGGTCGCACTCCGAGCAAGGTGCTCTTGAGTGATTCTGAAAGGCTCAGGTTGGCCAGCCTGGAAATCCAGCTGGCCGCGCCCGAAGCGATCGCAGTTGACAGCGATGGGGAGGCAAAGGACACTGGCAGAAGCCACGCGGCTACCTCAAGCGCCCTGTTTCGTCAATCGTGTTCGTTAAGAGTTTGCTCCGCAGATTGCTCAAGCTGTGCAGAGCCCTCAACGACCTGTGGACTCCTGTGGACCATGAACTTCCCTCGTGGCCTTCGTGGCCTGGCTCTTTGGTCTCTCCTTGCGCTCGGCTTGGCTGCAGGCGATGAAGAGAAGGAGCTGGAAGAATGCGAAGTGGGACTTCTGCAATCGCACCGTGCGAGGACCGAGACCGACCCTCCGAAGGAACTGACGCCACATCCCTTCTATGCAGCGGTCCGGCGCGCTTGCATGGAAGAGACGTGCATCATGTTCGAACGCCACAGGAACTTTTACGAAATCATGGCCACTTTGGAGGCGCACCGGGACACCCTGAGCAAGAGCTGCCGGCAGACAGCCTTCGGCGGTACGTTGCAGCAGCCAAACAGCCTGATCTTCACCAAAGTCGACAGCGCCACAGCCAATCTCGGTCCAGAACTAGGAATGTCCACGGACTTCGTCGTCACGAAATCCATCGGCTATGTGGGCGCTCCCCTCATGTACTCCACTCCAGGTCACACTGCCATTTACAGGACGTGGTTCCTCATCTACGAGGCAAAGACACAGCCAGCCCCCAAAGGAATGCTCTTTGTTCATAACGGCGGCCCGGAAGCTGGTATCCTAGGCGGTATGTTTTCTGGCTTGAAGGATTTCAAGGACTATTTGGACCAGATCCAAGATTATGACTTGATCTTCGTGGACCAGAGGGGCATGGGTTTGTCCTATGCTGGGCTGCTGAGTGGCTTCGACACTCCCACATCATGGAAGGAGTTGAAGGAGGAGTGGAAAGATGTTCCCGCGGAGGTCGTCGTGGCATCTGAAGGACCCCTCGCATCGAACACCCAGTTCCTCGACTCCAAGGGGGTCGAGCATCAGGCGCCCTGCGCGTTCTTGAAAGACGGGACCAACACCTGGAAATTTCCGGCAGACTGGGGCAACCATGACGAGGTGCTCAAGTACTTGCAGCGCAAAGCCGAGATGATTACCGCATGCTCAAAGATGTTCGACCGTCCAGATGGACATGACACATACAACTTGCTGCAGTACATGGGCACGCAAGCGCTGGTCCATGACATCGAATGGCTTCGCTGGGCTTTCGGTGGCTACCCCATCACGGTCCTTGGCTACAGCTACGGCACCCGTGTTGCGGCTGCGTATGCATCCCAATTCCCCGGGGCCATTCAGCGCGTTGCTGTGTCGGGCGTCGAAGCCCCCAACCCAGATCTGCTTGAGTTTGCCAAGGAGGCCGGGCTCAACACGGCCGAGATCCTGGGATTTGTCCAAAGCCAATGCGCGGAGAGCGCATCATGCCGAAAGAACCCCTTCAAGGAGGATGAGGCGAACGAGCCAGGGTTTTACTTTGACGGGGACATCGATGCGGCGGTCGAGGCCCTTTTCCGCCGCTCCTCGCACGGTGGTATCTGGTATCCGAAGAAGTGTCATGGAAATTATGTTTCAATGAACTTCCTTTCATCCCTCCTGCGTGACTTCCTGGTTTCAGAGAACTCAGACAGAGTTAACAAGCTCGTTGACTGGTTTCAGGATTCCAGGAACAAGCGGGTGCCGCCATTCCAGGACGCTACGTGGCCAATCGGCTTCCAGATGCTGCCAGCTACAATATATATCATGGTGCAAAACCCTTGTGCCACGGCAAAATCTGCAATGAAGAGCACAGATGACTCGCCATTTGAACAGCTTAGCATCTTCAGTCTCATCCCAGCACTTGACATGACAGGGCGGTGGCAGGTGAACCAAGTGGCAAAGTTCATCGCATCACACGCGGCAGACAGGACCCTAATGCCGGCTTCGGATCTGTTTATCATGAATGCCGAAGCAGCCTACGGATGGCCGCAGCTGCCGACGCCTATTGGCTTCTCGAACCCAACAGTGGATGCGGTGGCAGTCAACACCTTGTATGATGAGCGCACTGGCATGAACATGGCGCAGAAATTCCAGGAAAACTTCCCGAACACCAGCCTCGTGACTTCGCTTGGAGGTGGTCATTGTGTGACTTCTGAGCACGGTCTGGAAGGCTTTCAGACATTGATGCAGTTCCTTTTCTTCGGCTGGAAGCCTTCCAGTGGAGACATGGTTGATCGCTTCGTGAAGATAGACTTCGCGGACGGTGCCAAGTTGATGGGGGAATACTATAAGGAGGTTAAGAATCTCGAATAAGACGAAGGCAGGATAACGCAATCAACCCAGGAATGTTCGACTTGTTTCGGCATAGAGCCATCCATTCAGGCTACCGTCGAGAAACGTTCGGCGGATGTCCTACAGTTCCAAGAATGGATCAGGTTCAGCGGGCTGGAGCGATGGTTCTGCTTAATGGTTCTATTTCAGTGAGTTGTGATTGTGCTGAATCATCGACCGGCAATGTACAGAGTGCTATACTCGAGTGAGTCCCAGATGAGTGCCGAGCTGTGAGTGTGTCATGTCTATATATATGAGTAGGCACGACGTTGTAAAGAGACATGACTTCACATCAGCCATGATAGAGAAGGTATCATCCCCGAAAATTACGCAAAACACGAATCGTATGCCAAACGCGAATCCCTGCCAAGAGAAGGTTTTGACGGTATTTACAATGGAAAAGAGGCCGAGGTAGGTCATGGGGGGGGTGTGTCCATATATATATATATATATTAGTTTTTTTATGGGTAAGTATCTAGAAGTCGGGTTGACTACTCGAATGAGGCACTTCATGTCTGGGTATGCAGTCTGAGGATGCGACAGAGTCGCGGGATCCAGTAAATCGCCGCCACATTCGGCAAAAAGAGTGGCAAAACAGGAGGGGCAAAGTCGAAGGCAACCAGGCTGAATGTGGCAAGCAGCAGGGCCTTAAATCAAAAGCAGCGAGGCTGCATTCAGCAATTTTTTCGATGCGGCAAACAAGATGACGTTGGCAATCGCAGGCAACTTGGCCATTCTGCAAACAGCGGTTCAGGGTACCGTGGCATCTTCTCAGAATCGACATGCGCTGGCAGGAGAGTGCTCGTCAAGACGTGGATGCGACTCCTGTGAGCGACGATCAGCAGGCTGGATGGGTCGGGGTGTGGGGATGAGCTTGGAAACGCTGCGTTTTGCTTAGTCTCGCGGTCAAAACCTCCAAAACGCAACAAACCTCCAAAACGCCTGCCGTCGCCGTTTAGGGCTGGGGAAGGCTTGCGTTCGCGGTGGATTCGAGCATAGCCGGCTGTGTCCGTCGGTTTTGGACTGGGATGGCGAGCTGTTGCATTTCCCGCAGTTTGGGTTCGATTCATCGTTTCCACTGGGGCCCTGGTTCACGGGAACAGGTCCAGCTGGCTACTTTACAGCACACTTCGGGTGACCAAGATGGCTTGCCGTCAGAAACGGGTATTTGTGAGGCAGTCAAGATCATGGTCGGGTATTATGAGGGATGGGTTGGGTATCATACTGAGGACCCAGGGGGGCCACAGCGTGCACGGCAACAACACGCCTGCTGGGCGCTGCCACTGAAAATCAAGATGCGTCAACCTCGTGAGATCTTCACTCCTCTCCGTCCCATCTTGAGTTTAGGCTTTGGGTATAGGGATGCAGCCTTGATCTCGTGGTTCGGTATGGATGTACGTGGGCGGAGTTCACTCCAGCTTCTCAAAAACATGGGGGGCCAACTTACCGGTAAGACAGCATGCGCAACCTGCATCAGATTTGGAAGGAGGGATGCTGGCATGAGGGTGACCACGCAATCTGAATGCACTCACCTGGAGTTTTCAGCATTCCTGCACCGCCTGGCCCAAGCTCTTCGCCTCCTAGTAGGCAGAACAACAACAGGACAAGGCAAACAGAAGCGACCTTCAAAGCAGTAAGGCAGTCATAGACAACCTCTGCTTTTTGGTGCAATCTACTGACTGTTTAATGTTTACGTTTATCCGATTGCACAAGTCCGGATGCAAAAGGATGATAAATATGATGCTTCAGATTCAACGTATACTTTTGAATGAGTAAATCTGCAGGGTAAATGAAATGGAATAGTGTAAGGGAAAGAGTGGCTTTATACTATTTCGTTAGTTCCACCTAAAAAATTGGAAATGAAAGAACTTTGGCTTTATGAGCGAATGAAAAATGGCTTAAGGTATTTTAATAGGAGTTTTGCTATTAGCATAAGGGCAAGGCGGTAATAGTATACCAGGATCAAGGCTAGAGCCTGAATATGATGAATGCTCATGTTTGATTGCTACTCGTAGTAGTTGATTGTAGAAGTAGCAGTAGAGGTAGCAGTAATAGTAGTAGCATTATGACTCTTGCGATGATTTTATACAACCATCTTCATAAGACTTCAAAATGTGGTAGGAATTTATCCAACACCATGAACCTATGCTAAGAATACTGCGGTGCAGGTTAATGATTTAGTAGAAATAGTAATCGTAGCAGGAGTATTTGTCATAGTAGTAGTAGTAATAGTAGTAGTTGTAGCAGCAGTAGAAGTAGCAGTAGCAGTAGTAGTAGCAGTAGTAG